CTTCCCGAAATTGAACCGAGACTGTAAGCGAGACCTGAACCCGTCCCTCTCTTCAGGATGGGCGGCTACGATGAGATCATCGACCTCAATGAGACAAATCGCTCTGGGGGCCCCCGTACTGGAACGCTTAACCCACAAACAGGGTTCAAGCAACGATTTTTGAAAACCATCAGTGACAAGGTAGTCTGCAAGAGTCCTATGCCACAAAAGCGGGGCATCGTTCAGACCGTACACGGGCGCAACGAGCTCGATCAGCTCACCGGGAGCCAAATTCAGACCTTGGCATGGCTCACAGAAGATCGCGCCCCTAGGGCGCCTAAGGCGATCTGATTGGCAGAAAGCGTTCTTGGCGTCGGCCACCTCAAGTGTCCAACTGAGGGAAGAGATCGCTTGGAGAGTCAGCATCAGACTCTCTGCCTGGGGGGTCGGGGCGTAGACCTGAAGCTCCCCCCCATCTGGGTCGTGATGACCCTGCACACACCACCTAGACTTAGCCTCTGGGAGCGCCCCTAAGCCCTCCTGGGGCTTGAACCTGCGAACCATCCTGGATCCCAGAACCCGGTCGGGGCATCGGCGGCGAATCAGCTGAGCCTCGGCAGACGGAACAACCCGCACAGCTCCTGACTGGACGATCGCCTGCCACTCCTTTAAATCGGAGAAGTCGAAAAGGCGTCTCTCCTCCGAGGTCAAACTCTTCAAAGAGACTTCCGCTCCTCTGCGAGCCGGAGGGGCACCATTCGTACACTTGGAGGGGAGCGAGGCAAAGCTAAATGACGCTTCCCAGAAGTCCGACTTCCAACCGTACCAAGTGCACAGCTCATTCCAGAGCTCGTCGTCCTGAGGATCCTCCTGATCGGCGCACCCAGCAAACCAGCTGGCATCATCTGGGCCCCTAGAGGCCTCGCCTGGTTCTTGAACCGGCAGCTCGGGTCGGACCGGGGACCTGGACCTGTTAGTCGGCCTGGGAGCGAGGGGAGCTGAACCGGCGGGCGACGGTCGAGAAGCCCGGTCCCGGAGGATGCACAGCGGAACATCGTTGCTCAAAACTCCGCCCGATCTCCGATCGAACTCCTGCACGGCTCGCTGAACGCGTCCTGGTCCGCTCGCCTCCTCGACTGGAGTAAGCCTAGGTCTCTGCTGGGGGGGGGGAACCACCTCCACGGGATCGGTGGGTGGAGGAATAGAGGGCGAGGGCAAGGCAGGAACGACAGGAGGGGGAGAGGCAGGAAAGGGAGCAAGAGACCTCGGGAGCGGTGGGGCATCAAGGGCTTGCCTCAGCGCTTCGGGAAGGGGGCCCCATCTAGTGGTTTCGGGAGGCGGAGTCGTTCCAGTCGAGGAGGGCGGCTGGCGACTGCTATGTGAAACGGTGGCCGTTCGTCCTCCGGTGGTCGTGCCTTGGTTGACCGAGTCGGAGGGAGGTGCCGCAGCCGCAGGCTCGACCTGCGGCGCCGGCAAAACTGGTCGCTCGACTTGGGCGGCCCGAGGGGCAAACGCTTCTCGATCCGGCTCCCTGGCGTCCCAGGCTTCAGGGGGTGGAGGTCCTTCAGCCTCGACGTCGACGGCCCCGACACGACCAGATGGGTTCTGTAGCTCCGATCTGAGACCGGCCAGGGCCTGGGAGTCAAGAAGCTCAGCTCCCTGGGCTTCATCACGAGCTGCCTCTCGGACCTGTTCAGACGAACATTTAAGCAGTCGGGTGCGCATGGCCACCCACACGGTGGTGCCTTGTTGGAAAACCACGGCCCCGGGACCAGTCCAGCGGGCCCGAGAGCCCTCTCTCTGCTTGGCTCCGTGCGGCTTCCTCCACACATACACCCACGTACCAGGTCGAATGGCAATATCAGCGTGACGCCTGGCCCGAGCGGCATACTTCAAACGTTCCGTGACATCCAGGGACACCACCGCACGACGGGCCTCCTCACGCAGGAAATGCTTTCGAGCGAACGTCGAGGCCGGACTCTCAGAGTCCCGTGCGCCAAGCACTAAATCCTGAACCCCGACTTCGTCGACGGCATCGTCTGAGAGAAGATGCTGAGGCATGCGGGGGTTCTCTCCAAACACCATCTGAAAAGGGGAATACCCCCCACGATTGCTGAAACGGTTCTTCGCCGAGACAACCTCACAAATCAGGTCTTCCAGCTCCTCGCGGTCCTTAATCGAGGTCGCCTTCATGGCCTTAAACAAAGCGGTCTTGACAAGCCCCCCGCGCCTCTCACACCTTCCGTTTTGGTGTGGACTCTCGGCATCACAGACATGATGATACACCCCTAAGTTCTCGAGAGCACGCTGGAAGATGGCCTCAAATTCGGGACCCCCGTCGGACATAAGTATCTCTGGCACCCCCATTGGCCGCACCCAGGCCCGAACGAAGCCCGACCACACCTGTTGAGCCGTAGCATTTTTCAAGACCGTGCAGCATTGATAGTTAGATCCGTGATCTATCACATTCAGCACCGGGATATTCTCTCCGAAGGCCTGGATGTAAAAGAGATCCACCGCCACGAGCTTGTTGAAACGAAACGTCCGAGGAAGCTGGGCTCGACGTCTCCAGTGCGGACGGGCCTCCCCATCGCACTGGGGACATCGAAAAGACTTCGCCACCCACCTGACGATGTCGTCTCTTATCTTGGCAACTTTAAGGGACCGGACAAACTCTTCATGCCTGGGATGACCCAGATTGGCGTGCAACTTATGCACCTCATTTTGAGTCTCTCGGTCGAGTCTCGGCTCGGAAAGAACCCCCGTCCCCGGCGGAACCCTGGGCCCAGGATCGTCCCCTGGAGGCGGATCCTCGGGGCCTGGAGGGGAGGGTGAGGAATCCTCTTCCTCGTCGGTGTCTGAGTCAACCTGCTGAACTCCCTCCTGACGTTCTGGCAGGATAGGACGGATCGTCCTCTGGCGACTGGCAAAAGAGAGCGCGCGCGGCGGTCAGCTCCACCCCCTGGCAGAGCGCGGCCACGAGGTCACGGGGGTACTGCTGCGACGCCCTCGTCCTGGCCCCCCCCACCAGGTGCAGGTGCTCATGATCTCCGGGGCACTTGCGAGAGCAGATGCGCAGGAGATCGTGACTGTTAGACAACAGCCTAGTAGGTTTCTTGGAAACGGTCCCTGGTGACACCGAAAGCCCGAAAGCACACTGATCCATGTCCACGTAACGAACCCCCTCAAGAGCCGCGAGCTTCTGGATACTCACCAGCTGCCAGCTGCTGGCAGTCAGAGGATGCTCGAGCAGAAAGAAACGCCTCTTCTGATGTTGGTACGACGCGACCTGAGCACAGATAGAAATGAAAAGGAGAGCCTCTTGCTCTGCCCGGGCTCTCTTGGCCGGATCCATCTGGGCCGCCGTCGTCCTGGAAATACTGAAGACCGTGCAGGGGGGGGACATCAGGATCGTGAGAGGGTTCTCAGTGTCCAGAAGCTTCCAGAGACGTCTTCGGTCCTCAGCCTTGCGAAGATCCCACCCCGCCCTGAGATCGAGGGAGGGTGAAGTAGGGAAACCCAGACGCCTGAGCTCGGGCTCCACTCTCGGAACGGAGAAGAGCTCGAGACATTTCGTAGCCCCCAAATCCTGCAGGGCTTTCTGGATGTCCTTTCGGGCACGTCTCTTAACCTTCCTAATCCCCGCCCCTTCCAGGACCTGCAGAGCCTGCTGACGGACCCTCCTCGGAACTGTAGGCGAAACAAATGTGTCCTGTTCGAAGTCCGCGAAGCGGTCCGCGAAACACCAGGTCGAACTCGCAGCTCCCGAAGCCTCCTGAAGCTCCCCCGTGATCTCGGACTCCGCCTGCTCCCAGAAAACTGGATGCCTAGGGTCGAGGCCGACTGGGGCCCCGGCAGCCTCGGTCCAGAGCTCGATGTCCAGGGAACTGGCGGGGAGACCATCTAAGGCCTCGGCGACAGCCGTGAAGGACAACAAGACGCAGAGCTCGTCCAGCACGACCGTCCCTGACTCTGAGTCGAGGACCCGAAGCCTTCGAACCCCTTCGAGCGGGTCTCCGAAATTCCGGCCTCCTGACCGCTCCATAGCCAGCTGCGTGGCCCAGACTCCTTTTTCTTGGTCCGAAAGACTTCTGGGAACCCAAGAGAGCAACGAGGAGACCTCATCTTGACTGACCCTCTTACCTGTCTCCAGATCCCAGACCCCTGACGCGAAACGAGGAACCCGTTTTCTGACCGGGCGGGCGAGGTCTCTCGCCGCGGCTTTGAAGCTCTTAACAATCCAGCTGCCGTGAGATCCTGGGTCGGGAAGGGCGTCAAGGATCTCAGCCTGGGCCGGGATCTTCCTGTTCAGAAAGAAAAGGGATGAGGCAGAGGAGGAAGGACGGGAATGAGAGACATGGGCAGGGCTTCCTTTTTCATCAGGACTTTTGGCCTCAGGCCTAGCAGACCGTCCCGAGAGGTCGACAGAGCCGGTAGCATCTGCCTTCGTGCACGCGTCACTCTGGGTGGCGCCTAGCTCTCCTCGTCCTCCTGAGGCGCGGCCACCGGGCGCAGAGCTCCGAGCCCCTTCATCACACTGATCAGCAGGTCCATCTGCTGTTGGCGCTCCTTGCGGTCCTCCACCATCATCCACTGCATCGTCTCGAAGCCCTTCTCGATGTTGCTGAGATTGCCGCTGCTGCTGCTCGCCGCACCGGCGCTGCCTGCCGCGCTGCTGATCGCTCTCGGCTTCGTGACTGGCAAGGACTTCTTCGCCGTCGGCGGTGGCGGCTTGACTGGCACCCCGTCGCAGAACTCGACGTACCTCGACGGAGCCTTGTACCTCGGCGGAGGCTCGACCTTGATCTCCGCCGGCGACTCCTCCTTCTCGACCTTCGTCTTGGACTCGCGCTTGGCCAGCACCTTGCGCTTGGTCTCCTCGATCTCCTCCTTCGTTTTCCTCACGAAGCTGAGCCGGGTGTCGCAGATCCGGCACTTCGTGTAGTACCCGTACCCGTTTCCGCCGCTCCACCTCGCCTCCATCGGATGGGAGCAGCTCGCTTTCGCTTCCTCCTCCTCGCTCTTCACCTTGGACATGCGAGGGGCTACGATCGCCGACAGACGGGAAATCGCACACACCCTGAGGTACAGCATCATCTTGATCGACCACCTCCTCCAGGTGCGCGCAGCTGGGCTGAGCAGGAAGGCACCCTCGAAGAACAGCTCCTTCTCCACCGCCGTCATGCTCTCCTCCTCGTTGTTGATTGAGCTCAGCATGCCGTCTATCCAAGGATCTGGAGTCTGGTCCCAATTCATCTCGAGCTCCGAGTCGGGGTCCTCCTCCGTGTTCTCGGGAATGACCTCCAGGTCCTCGTCGGGCTGGAAGTCGTCGCGCTGGGCCTTCAGCGCCTGGCGCCTCAAGCTCCGTAGCGAGCGGGCGCTCCGGCTCTTGATGATCCTGATCTTCTCGGATGGCATCGCTCTGGTGTTGTCCTAGTGGTATCGCTGGTCGGTCTCGCTGGCTTGGCTGCTTGCTGGCATTGCTTGAGCCGGGATGAGCTACGGAGGATCGGCTAGTCCCGAGACCTGAAAACTGTCTGGTCCTGGTACCCGGCTGTTCTGAATCGAGGCCTAGAGAGAGAGGGAAAGAGTTATATCTACCGCACGTGCCCCGCTGCAGCCCTTCCCCTAAGTCCTGATTCGAGCGCTCGATCGGGAACTCGGCGTGCCCGATCCAGCGGCCCGTGAAGCTCAGGGTCTCGCTCGGGATGCCGTCGACCCAGGTGCTCTCGACAACGCTGCAAGCGGAAAACTCACTGTCAAGCATCTGGCACGTGACACGGCCCGGCCCTGACTGCGAGACTGGAACAGGAGGCGGCTCAGCCTCGGGGAAACTGAAAGCCTCACGGCGAGGGCCCACGTGCACTCGACGAACAGCACCTGGAACCTGAACCCAGCAGTCCTGGAGCGTCATCGGGATCGCTGCCCAGACATCACCACGACCTGCCTTCTCGACGAAAGGCGGAAATTTGCTGGCCAGATCCTCACTGATGGCGAACTCGCTCGGCTTGCATCCTATCAATGATACTGCTCGATGCCCCGAAGGAAGCTTGAGCAGATCCAAATCACGTCGACTTCCGTCCTCTCCAATCGTCATCACATCACGACGCAGGTCTATTACTGCCCTCAGAAAATCGAAAAACTTCGCCGGAAGCAAGGGAGGGCAAGGATGCGGGAGGACCAGGAACTCCACTACTCCACAATGTTGAAGCGACACTGGAACTGCTGCAACTCCGACTGGCTTAACTTTTCCTCCGACTCCGTTCGCCGTGGGGACTCTGTCGGTGTCGACAAAGTGTATCTCGAAACCCTTTTTCTTGAAAGCAGCCCTCAACTTGTCGATGTCTGGTGTGCCAATCAGAGCCTGTCCAGCAGCGGTGTCTACCAGCGCATACTCGTCCATGTCCTGCAGCGTCGCCGCCGCGAGCATCTCCAGATCCACCTGACCCAGGTCGTGCTCCTGCTGGTCCACCTGACCCGCAGTCGCGGCGGCAGCGGAGAGCGAGCCCACCTGGCCCGACTCATCCAAAATCGCTGCCCAGCTCGTCCCGGAGTGAGTCGCGTCGTAGTCCAAATTGAAGTAGAACGAGCTCTGCGCTGGCTTCTTGTCCGGGCCCTTGTTGACCGCTGCCGGCCGTGATGACTCGGACTTCAGCCTATCGGCCTTACTCCGATATGGTCGTCGACAGTCTTCTCGCCAATGCCCTTTTTCCCCGCAGTTCGAACAGCGGGACCTCTTTTTAAAATCGTCTCTGGTGACCTTCTTCGTTCCCTTTCCCTTGCTGCGGTCAAAGAAATCCCTGTCCACTTTTCTGTTCGTCTTGAGCTGCCTAGACTCTGCCCACGTACGACGACGCTGAGGGAGCGTCACCTCAGCGAACACCTCGATGATGTGCTCCTCGTCAAGATCCTGTGAGTCCAGCGAAACTAGGATGGTGGCGAGCTCCTGCTCATCGAACTCCATTTCGTAGAGCCCGAAACACTCGCTGTCGTCACATGCGTCGCACTCGTAATCCCCTGCCTCGTCGAGGACCGGTACCGTGGTCGCGAAGCTCCTGGCCTGAGCTGGAGCCTGTGGCTTCGGGAGCGTCTGCCTCTCAGTGATGTCCAGTTCCAGTAGGGCAGAACGAACAGCCTCCACGGTCCTTTTGCCAGCCATCAGGGTCCTCAAGTTGAGTCGAAGCTGGGGGTTCAAGTTAGCTCCTTCCTCGTAGTACCTGGCCTTCACCGTGTCAGGAAGTGTCAGTCCCAGCCGTTCTGCGGCCGCAATCTGTTGATCTCTCCTGATAACGTAGTCCGTGAGGGACTCTCCCTTCTTTATCGAGTAGTCAAATAGTGCCTGATTGTGGGCCTCACGCTCTTTATCCCCTGGACGCTCCCCGTTGAGCAACTTCAGATGGTCAATGACCTTACTGAGGCCGTCGCTCTCGTCGGTCAGGTGCCTGATACTCTTGAATCTCGCCTGAAGCTCGATGGGGAACGTCTCGATCACTCGCCCGGCGCGGGTCTCCGCCTTGAATGCGGTCCGCCCGTCCCAGGACTTAAGACTTGCCAAGTACAGCTCCAAATTCTCTAGCCCATGCCACGTCGGAGGCGCTGAATAGTCTCGATTGACTTCATCCCCAGGTGCCTTTCCCCACAAGCCGGAACCCCACCAGCTCCAGGAGGAAGACCAATGCCAATCAGACCAACCCGCGCGCCCCCAGTTTCTCCAGGCGTCCTCATCTGACTCAGGGCCGGCTGCGGCCCCGTCTATCTTCTGAGGAGTGGAGATCCTTTCCCATGGGTCGATCACATGGGCGCCCTCTCGCTCGGGAACCTCCTGATTTCGTGCAGCACCCTCAGCACCTGGCTCAGCGGCGCCCCCTTGACCCATTGCCTCGTCCACGCTCCGGCTACCATTGTCTGCAGGCATCGGGGCAGGGAGGGCCGAAAGGCCTAGAAGGAACACCTTTTCTCAACCAAGTGTGTGAGATAGCACTATCATTCAGTCCTCAGGCGCGAGAGCGCCCCAAAGCCAAATTGGCTGCGAAACCACTGTCGGTCACAAAGAGGCGAGGGGAGGTGAGGAAAATGAGAACAGCATCAGCAGCAGCATCAACATCGACATCATCAACAGCAGCATCATCAACATCATAATCACCATCATCACCCACAGCATCATCATGATCAACATCTTCATCATGGTCATCATCATCAGCGGCAGCATCATCATCATCATCATCATCATCATCATCATCATCATCATCATCATCATCATCATCATCATCATCATCATCATCATCGTCGTCGTCATCGTCCTTAGCATCATCATCATCATCATCATCATCATCATCATCATCAGCATCATCATCAGCATCAGCATCATCATCGTCATCGTCAGCATCATCATCAGCAGCATCAGCTTCAGCATCAGCATCAGCATCAGCATCATCAGCATCATTATCAGCAGCATCATCATCATCAGCATAATCAGCAGCATCAACAGCATCATCATCATCATTATCACCATAATCGTCATCATTATCATCATGATCATCATCATCATGATCATCATCATCATCATCATCATCATCATCATCATCATCATCATCATCATCATCATCATCCTTACCATCATCATCATCATCATCATCATCATCATCAGCATGAGCATCAGCATCATCATCAGCAGCATCAGCATCATCGTCAGCATCATCATCATCAGAATCAGCATCATCATCATTATCATCGTCATCATCATCAGCATCATCATCATCATCATCGTCATCATCAGCATCATCATCATCATCACATCATCATCATCATCATCGTCATCATCATCATCATCATCATCATCATCATCATCATCATCATCATCATCATCATCATCCATCATCCTCCTCCTCCTCCTCCTCCTCCTTCCTCCTCCCTCCCTCCTCCTCCTCCTCCTCCTCCTCCTCCTCCCTCCTCCTCCCTCCTCCTCCCTCCTCCTCCCTCCTCCTCCCTCCTCCTCCCTCGTCCTCCCTCCTCCCTCCTCCCTCCTCCCTCCTCCCTCCGCCCCTGCGGCAGCAGGCCCCCAGAGCCAGCCTGGCACCACCGAGCGCGCTCCGGGCGGGCGACCGGGTGCTTCTGCGGCTTGCAGCTGCCAGTAGGCGCCTGGAGAGCCACCGCTCCAGCATGGCAGCAGCGGAGCGCAGAGGCCCGCGCAGAGCGGCTCCTCCCACGCCCGGGTTTTGGCAATGCCGCAGCTGCCAGCGCCAGAACATCCACAGCCCGAGCACTTGCAGATTCTGTGCCCAGGTGCCAGTCACTGCAGTGCTCCCCACAGGAGGAGGTGCTCAAGATGACGAAGATGACGGCGACAGCGAGGCCTGGCAGCAGGTGTCTCGCAGACGCCCCTCCCGACAGCCATCCAAGCAGGCACCGCGGCGGGCCGCCGGGAGCCCCCCGAAGTGGAGCCGGGACAACACGACACCACACCAGCGCGCGCGCAGTGCCGCCCCGCCTCGGCGGGAGCGCGCGGCGCAGGCACCGCCACTACCACGCCCAGCCGACCCGGAGCAAGCGCCGCAACACAGGCTTTGGTTCCCGCCACCAGCCAACGGCAAGGACCTTCGTGCGCATCGAGCACAACTGAACGGGTCGCTGGACGCCCTGGAAGGGCCGATCGCGTCCGCCTACGAGATGAGCCAAAAGGGCGCGGTGACTCGCAGCTTGGAAGAGGACTACTCGGTCGTGCTGCATCAGGTCATGTTCGCACGTGACGCGAAGACTAGGACGGAGCAGCAGCGCCCACACCTAGACCGCATCAAGAAGAGGTACCTCGACGCGCAGAAGGAGGCCGACGAGCTCGCCGAGCAGCTGCGCCTCGCTCAGGTGCGCACGCAGGCGCTTGAGACAGGTGAGCATATTTCGCACAGTAGGTTTTGCATTTAGATCTGTGTGAACTTTCCTGTCACTGTTATCCATTTTGGCTCAAGGGAAAAGCATCTACTGCCCCTGCTGCTGCCACAGTTGGTAGCGGAGCCTGGTTCCCGGCCGGGGGGCCCATGGGTGGCGCGGCGCGGCCTTGAGGGCCACGGCCAGACGCCGCTCGAGTGCCTCCGGCCGCGGGCCGGGCTCGCGCCGACGGAGCGGCGCGGACAGCGGAGATGCCCGCAGACGACGAGGGCTTCATAGGAGCCGTCATCGGTGGTGGTGGTGAAGAGTCGGCGACCGCTGCATCAGGAGCAGCGGAGACAGGACAGATGACAGTGACGAAGGAGCAGCTCAGGGACCTGGTCTCAGGGATGGTCCGAGAGACCATGAGCGCCGCGGGGGCGCCCCAGACGGCCAAGCCTGAGCAGCCACAGGCTACTGCCGAGGGCCGACAAGAGGATCCATGGCAAGCAGCAGCAGCAGCAGCAGCAGCAGCAGCAGCAGTAGCAGATTGACGCCAGGACAGCTGGTGGCGAGACGGCGAGTGGCGGCAGTCCGACCACAAGCGCGCCGAGACCGACCAGCACGACGCCTGGCAGGACTACAGCAAGGGCGGCTGGAGCGCCGGCTGGGGCCAGCGCAACAGTTGGTACTCCGGCAGCTGGAGCGGAGGAGGAGTCAAGGGTGATTTCTCAGATCCTCCGGCATGGCCGGGATGGACGCACTATAGACAATGGCGGAGCGCCCTCAAACGTTGGGACAACAACACAGATGTCCCCGTTTGGCGCAGATACGAAAAGTTTCTCAAACTGTTCGACTGGAATATGCAGGCTAGGTTTGAAGATCTGTCGGAGCAGTCAACCTCAGGAGCCAGCTGGATCACCACAGTGCTCGAGAGGATGAATTTGATGATAGGCGAGCGAGAGGGCGACGAGCTCAGACGCACTGGCAGGCGCGCCCTCTGCGAGGCAGCCAGAGAGAGCAAAGAGAGTCTCACGCAGTACGTCATGAGACGAGAGTCTCAGTTCCAGGAAGCAGAAGCCAACGAGCTCTGGCTGTCGTCCAAGATGAAGGGCCTGATGCTCGAGGAAGGTGCTGGTCTATCGGGACAGAGTATGCAGAACCTTCGCACGCTCACCCGTGGACAGCTAGACTACGAGAGCGTCACCTGGGCCCTCAGGCAAATGGACGCATCGGGATCTGAGCGCCTGTTGCCTGGTAGGAGCACGACAGCCTTGCCGGCCGTCGAGACCGAAGAGTCTGGCGCCCAGGGCAGTTTCCCTCCTCCTCCTCCTCGCTCGTACCCGGTCGGTCGGTCCGAGGTAGGCTCAGAGGAAGACGTCGAGCTGGACGGGGACTTCTACGACGACGACTTCGATGAGGAGGACGAGGCTGCCATCTTGGCAGAGCTGGAGGACCTAGACCTCGACGAGACGCAGCTCGACGAGGCGATGGCCATGATCGAGTCGAGGTCCAACCAGCGCACCTGGAAGCAGAACAAGGATATCAAGAGGGCGGCCAAGCGTGACCGCGAGTACTTTGCCCCGAGGCCGCGACCAGGAGGCGCCGGGAGCGCCTCGCAGCCACGGTCTCGCCCGACTGGAGGACGGACGGATCGTGGTGGCCGCGGCCGACAGGAGCGAGGACGAGGTGGAGGCAGCGGCTCCCGAGGTTCAGGACTCAGCCGCAAGAAGCTGTCTCCCGAGCAGCTCATGAAGATCACCAGGTGCGGCATCTGCAAGCAGAAAGGTCATTGGCACCGAGAGTGCCCAGAGAAGGACAACCCCAAGTACGCCAACCAGCGGAAGGGGATGTCGGCCTACATGTTCGACGGGGTCGTGTCCGGCTCCGGGGACTGGGTCGTCACTCCCGAGCTGCTGGGCCAGTGGAAGGAGCTGGGCCAGGCGATGCAGGACGCCGGGATCTACTTGGTCGGCAAGCCCACTCAGGGCCTCGTCGACCCAGGCGCCGGCAGCGACCTCGTGGGCTTGACGGCGCTGAACCGCGAGTCGCTGGCGCTCGCGGCGGTGGGCCTGAAGTTCGAGACCATCCCGAAGCAGCACCAGCGGCCGAGGGCAGCACACGGGGTCGGAGGCATGGCGAGGGTCGTGACCTCCGTGTTTTTCCCGCTGTGCCTGGGCGGAGTGCTGGGGAT